CTCTTAGGTCAGCAGATACATAGTCAATCTCCAACAACCAACAAACACTTATCACGTGTAAGCAGAGTAATAGAAGTTACAGCCTACAAAGAAGTGGGAAGTAAGCTCACAACAAATTGGGAGACAGACAAACAAGTGCACTCATGAAAATTAACTGTAGGTTTTATAATGATAGCTAACATCACATTTCCCACAGATGAATGACAGAAGCCTCAGAGATAAACAGACCTTGCAGCAAGGTTCACAAAAGGTCTGAACCCACAACCAGTAGCAACATCTTTGAAATCCACAGCTCCTGAAGGTTGGCAGGCCATCGTCTCTGTTCACCCCTGCAACCCTTATTGCCTACTGCCTCTTGAGTAACTGAATATTCTTTATGAAAAACCCAGTGTCACCCATTGCAATCATTTCTGTCTAGAACATTTCTGCCTTTTCACACCCAAAAGAGGTCCTCCTTTGCAAGATGGGCCCACAGATTTCCACTGGGCTAAATTACTGTAGAGACCAACTCCTTCCCCTGACTAGGAAGTGTGTAAACAAACCTGACCATTTCTTGGGTAGCGAGGGAGGGCTCAGCAGCTCCTTGCTGTAAGGTGACTCTTCCCAGGGTAATCCTCAGACGCTCTGGAAATAGAAGTCTCCCCATATCTTGAAACTGTCTCTTCAAGAGTAAAAAGTGTCATTTTAAAAGTTTCTCCCCAAAGTGCTAGAAAATGATTCAATATCTCTTTGATATGGATGGCAAAGAAAAGAAGTGTAGCTGGACTCCTCATTAGATGCCTTGGCTTATTATATTTCCCAACTAGTCCCACAGTAAACATGTTCTGTGGTCAAATAAGTCTGGAAAATTCTGAAAATTTGGGGACTTACACTGCAGGAAAAGTATTTTAAAACACTAGAAAATTCTGCAGTAAAAAAATGTTTAACCTTTGTTTAATACCGCCCCCACACACCCTTTTTACCCCTTTGTAACACAAGTAACATTTCTAAGAGAGTTCTTTGGGAATTGTCCTTTAGAGTTAAGAAATGTTCATGAATATAAATACCTGTTCAGGATGCTTGGATGATGGATTTCCTTCTCATGACCAACTATTGTAAGAGAATCAGTTTCTGCAAATTGCCCTTCATGACAGAAAGTTCACACACATCCTCTCACTGCCCTCCATTCATTATCTGGAGCCTAAAACAGAAAATTTGATGTATTATGATATAAACAGAAAGGTCAATCTTGTCTATCAAGACAAAAGCTTGTTAGAGAAACAGAACTATGCCCCTTTTCTAATGCTCTGAGTCATCTCCTCAGAGTAGATTACTTCCTAACTTCTGGAAAAATAAAGGGACAGGTAACAAAGTCCTTGCCATTTACCCAGACAGGATATAAAGTACCCAATGATAATTTCTGGATGCTGAGAGATTTATTGACTGATGGGGAACTGAAAGGAAGCGCTGCCCCACAAACCCCTGAATAGGAGTGTGATTGCCCTGAGCAATCCACAGGAGACCCTGCCATTGTCTTGTACAGCTCCTATCACAACTGGCATTTGATACTCATTCTATAGAGGTCCATTGGTGAATGTTACCAGTGATTTTGGCTCTCAGTTCTTGAGTTTGGTACAGAAAGAATTCAGAGCCAAGAACTCTAGCACAAGAGGAAGTTTATTTAGCATGCAAAGCAAAAGCACACTCACAAATGTTTCAGTTAGCAACTTGAAGATTGTCTTTGCCATGAACTTTGCTAGTTGAAGCACACATTGGGGTACTCCTCTAAGGGCAAGGAGATGCAGACAGCAGGAATAAGTTCAACAATTACCTATTATTTCTGATATTTCTTTATTCATTGGATTGTTGTGCCATCTCTTTCTTAATTTGAGCCATACACTATATTATGTTTTATTTAAATTGGTTCTCCAAAGACTCCTTTCAAAAAGTTATTCCTACATGTAAGATAAAATCCATCAGTGTCGATTTTTATGGTATTTAGCTTACTGCACATGTAAGTCCTCTACATCATGTTATTTCTCCAGTCACACATCTGTATAATTACTTTGAAAAGCACTTAACTCTATACTTTATCAAAAGATTTCTATTTTCCAAGGTGAACTATGTGGAACATCAAAGTAAGCGTATTAAGTTGGCAACATCTTTTGAAACCTAATGTTAAAATTACAAGATTCAGCTGAAAGGTAAATTGCAGTATATACATACAAAAACGTATGTGTGTTTTCATGCCTAGGGAGATTTACATGTGATAATATTTATCAATATAAGGAAAGTCTAAGAAAAGATACCTTAGCATTGGTGTGTGAATATGACACTTTACCTAAATTCATCTTCGCACTTGAGTTTGTTCATGTGTCTCTGCTACAAAAGGAAGTTCAAAGGGTATTGTTTATACAGGCTGGTAGGCAAAAGAACTACCAGTAACTAGTTGAGTAACGTCAGGTAAGTCATTTTAACCTTTCTGGTTCTCATTTAAACCAAATGATCTCTTCAAGTCATTTCTAAAGTGAACATTCAGTGATTTGATGAGATCTATCTTTTGGATAAATTGTGGGTAGGGACTACTCTGCATAGTCCCTGTTCCTCTGGGATATGGGCCTTTTGTTCCTCACTTGTAGTCAGAGCCACTTTATCCCTAACCAACTATACCTACTTTAGGGAAATCTCACTGCAAGGACTCAACAGCGATGAGGGAGCTATACTAAAACAACATCCTCCATCTGGCCCAATAAGATAAGTCCAAAGCATGTGTCTTCTCTGGAGGAACCTCCCAGGCCTCCCTAGCTTGACGCCCTGGTCTTATCCCTTTCCTCAGTCTTCTTCTGCATCCACTTATCTGAACTTTCCCCTCCGAATCTACTTCCACCTCTAGATTGACATCCAAGCTGATATTTTCCAATGCACACAGAGAAGGGTTCATGAAAGACAGTCAACAAAAAACTTGAGATTCATTTCAACTTGAAGAAAAATTATGGTTCTTTATTCTCCCTACAACATAAAACACAGCTTTTCTCTAAAATCTCAACCATTATTTATAATCCTGATTTTCTATTAACAACTCACATCTTTCCTAGAAACACATTTCTTTCTCTGTTCTCTCATGTCAAAAGTACATTCTGGCCCAGAGGGGTGTGGCTCAGCAGTTGAGTGTCGAGCCAGGAACCAAGAGGTCACCAGTTTGATTCCTGGTCAGGCATATGCCTGGGTTGCGGGCTTGATCCCCAGTAAGGGGCGTACAATCAATGATTCTCTCTCATCATTCATGTTTCTATCTCTCTCTTCCTTTCCCTTCCTCTCTGAAATATAAATATATAGCATGTTCCACAGTGCAATGATCTGACTATGGGCTGACTTCTCTGGAAACTGCCAGAATTTCTCTTTTTACCTTACTTTTATTTCTAACAGCAGTTGTAGATTGGCATAGAGCCAAAATGGGAGTTGAAATGTGCATTGCATCATTTGTCATGTTAGCTACAAAGGAAGCAGCAGAGGTACCAGAAATGAAAACGAGGAAATTTCTGATAAACAACTCTGATGGTTATCTAGAAGGTGAATTGAATCATAGATATCAGAGTTTGACACTGCATTTTGAATTGCACAATTAGAGATAACTGCCTCCCACCTAGATAATAGTATCAATTTAATGCAAAATGTGAGTGTGGTTTTATAGTCATTCCATTCTGTGGTAGTGCCAGAGAGCATTTACTTATCAGGCTCCCATGGAGCGCATTTGAATTTGGAACAAGAAATGATTAATTAAAAAAACAACAACCTGGGTGCCCTTGATATGGATACTATCATAGTATGTGGAAGTAAAATGAATGAATTTACCTTTTAACAGGCTCAGTATGCATCAGTGCAAACGTGCCCTGTTATCAAGCAGTTTAAACCTTTTCCAATATAGAATAGGAAGTTAATCAATGCTTTTCTCGTTGGGTTTGCAACTAGATAAAGATTGTTTAACTCAGGCACCTCTCACTGGTCCTTTCTCTAATTTGGTAATTTAAAAAGTCCACAATTACTGAGAGAAGAGACAATGGAGGAGAAGTAAGCTTCTGGAAGAACTTAAAATCTTTGCTGCACCCCAGACTGTCCCTGGTTTGTGCCCCTTCATCATGGGAGTAGCTCTTGCCATCATTTAAAAAGCTTGACCTGCATTTTAGGAGACTTACTGGTATTATTGGTTTTGCCTCTGCAGACTCATAATTCCATTACCTGTTATTGGGAGGAAAAAGCAAATAGAGGCTTAAAAGCTGAGTGCCTCTACACTACCATCTCCTTGTTCTTCATTCTTATCCAGGCAGGAAGGCCATGGGACACTTTGTCTCTTAGCAAAGGAATATTTTCAGATATCAAGGTATTGCACAAGACAACGGGTCAGAGAAGTTAGGAGGGCAAGGGAAGAAGAGGATCAGGAACCACCCCCTATAAGTGGTTGCTGCTTTCCCTGCAGGACTGTGCATTGATAGACTTCTCTTTCCTCCAACTCTCCCTTCCTTTCCCCTCCCATTCGCTGTCTCTTTTTCTGATCCTTAAATTGGCCTTTCCTAGTAAAAGGTCAATATGTTTTCACGCTTGACAAATTTCATTCAAGAATTTTTGTCAATGGACAAGTCATAAGAAGCTCTTCCATTTTAGGACTGGTTGACGTCACCAAGGAGGCGATAAATATCTGTTGATATAATTGGATGTGAGATTCAGTGTTGAGAGAGCAAAAATTCTGCCCCTGGTTTCCTGGCAGGGCCCAATGATTTATGCAGGAGCAGAGGCAGCACGCAATCGAGCTGTCAAGAGAGCGTCAGCTTATTAGGCAAATGCTGCGTGATTTCTGAAGAGGATTGACGCTATAAAATCCCACTCCAGGCTCCGGTGTGGAGAAACTCAGAGCCCAAGTCCGTTGAGAGGCTGAAGAAAAAGAGAAGAGGGAAGAGGGAAGAAAAAACCCACAGTGGAAACAGAAAGGAGAAAGAAAGAAAACCCCTGAAAAAACCCGGAGACATTAATCTGCAGCAGCGCCTCAGCAGGTAGGGAGCCTAGACGGAAACGCGGCTCCAACTTTGCACTGCCTGAGCTGCAATGGAGCTCACTGCGGCGCCCTGGCCCTGTCCTTCCAGTGGTGTGTGTGTGTGTGTGTGTGTGTGTGTGTGTGTGTGTGTGTGTGTTTGCTGACTGTGCCTCAAGATCCCGATAGTAGCTGGGATGTGGCAAAAGCAAACTTAGACGGCTACTCATCGTTACCCGAACTTCCAGTTATTCCTTTCTGGCTGTGTAGATGAGCACCCCATTGATCCCGATCCTCAGAAGAAGGGCGCTGGAGCAGGGATGGATGAGGAGGAGGACGAAACGCAGCTTTTCATTTGGAGGAAAAGGCTGAAACATCCGAAAGGGAGTGGGAGTTAAGACCAGTTGAGGTCTTAAATTTGTAGATCCTCTAGAGCTCGGGAAATCAGTTCTAGAGATCGTTAGGAAGGGGATTCGGGGACTGTCCCTTTGGGGGTTTCCGAAGGAGAGGGGTCATTCCAGCCTGGCGAGGGGGCTGAGCTTTGGTGCCTAGTCCTGCAGGCGTCCGCTTTCCTGCTCCCCCTTTCACTCCAGCTCTGTAAGTCCTACCTCGGGAGCTTCAGCACCACGGACAGCGCCCGCCCGAGCCCCCAGCCAAGTCTGTGTCCTGTGGGGAAGACGACATCCTCCCCCGCCCCCCCCCGCCACACACACACACACACACACACACCGCACCTCCCAATTGAGCTAAACTGTGATCAACTCTTTCTTTCTCTCTTTCCTTCTCCTAGTGCCTCTAACATGAGACTGCCGCTGCTGGTGTCCGCGGGCGTCCTGCTCCTGGCTTTCCTGCCCTGCCCGCCATGCAGGGCCCTCCTCATCCGGGGTCCTGTCCCAGGCGCCCGACAGGCCCCACAACTTCCCCAACCCCTAGATTTCTTCCAGCCGCCACGGCGGCAGGTCCTTCCAGTTCAGCCGGTCCCGCTCACCACGGGGGAAGAATACTTCTTCCGCCAAGGTAACCTCAATGAGAGCCCCGCTGCTCCCCTCTGGTCAGCCTCCTCGCCCCTCGCCCGCCGCAGCAGCAGCCACCTTTCCCCTCACAAGGCAGCCGCCAACTTTTTCCGCGCATTGAGGCAGCTGCGATCGCTTCCCCAGCGCCCTCTCAAGAGTCCCGCTGAGCGTCGTGCTAAGAGCGCCCTCAGCGGTCGCCAGGAGGCTCTGGAAAGGGAGGGGCGATCCAGGGAAACTACCACCTCGCTGGATCTCACCTTCCACATCCTCAGAGAAGTTTTGAAAATGGCCAACGCGGAGAAGTTAGCACAGCAAGCTGAAAGCAACAGGAAACTGATGGAGATTGTTGGGAAATGAAACGGTGCGTTTGGCCAAAGCGATTCTGCATTTAGCAAAAAATAAAAAAAATAAAGTCTTCTGTACCATAGCATGGCTCTGATACCATTTGTTTATTTTTATATAGCTTGAAACGTAGAGGATGTATAACAAGAGCACCTGTTCTCCTTAATTAGAATGCACAAAGTATATTCATGTGCAGTAATAGCAACAAAATGGTATTTGTATTGTCTACTTTTAGTTTCCATTTCCAGGTGTCTTTAATGGTGTTTAAAAGAGTATAGACCCAGGAGGAAACGTTTTTGAAGAAGCAGACAGAAATCACCCAATTGATTTTGCTGTGGTCTGAATTCTCTTTGGTGGGTGAGAGAAATCATGTAAGCTCTTTGAATCAACTTTTCCTTGTAAATGTTTCAGTAATAAAACATCCTTACAATCCTTGGTCAATTTGTTTGTGTAATAGAATGTTCAATAGTTATCCTACATAATAAAAGGCTAATATGCAAATTGACCAAACCACAGAACCACCTGTTACTATGACGTGTACTGACCACCAGGGGGCAGATACTCAAAGCAGGAGCTGCCCCCTGGTGGTTAGTTGCTCCCACAGGCAGAACTGGGCTCAGCCAGAAGCCCGGCTTGCAGCTGGCAAGCTCGGCAGAGCTCCCGCCTCCCCAGCAGTGCTAAGGACCCTTCCGGGGATATCTGACTGCTGGCAGGTGGACATCCCCTGAGGGGGTCCCAGACTGTGAGAGGGCGCAAGCTGGGCTGAGGGACCCCTTCCCCCACAACCCCCCAGTGCACGAATGTCATGTACTGGGCCTCTAGTATTTTTCATAAACTCTGCAAAGGTAATCCTGACTTACTTTTGCTTTTCAATGATAGTAGTAGAAATAGTCTCAGCTATTGGACTCCTCCAAACTTACTTAAACACAGGTAAAGACAAAATCCCTTGCATTTTTTTCTACTACAAATACAAAGATAAACCAGTGGCTAACACAGATCCTGCAGTCTCCTTGGGTTCATCTCTGTACCTCAGATTACTCTTCTAAGATTGAGTTAAATAATTTGAGAAGTTGCTTCCCGCTCTAAGACTTGCTAATTCTATACATGGAAGATCTATTCATAATGGAAATAACATTTAGCCCTGATTAACTATAAGATGTAAACTAATTGGGGAGGGTTGGGGAAGGTGGAAAGGGAAAGAGGAGAATGGTTGAGGAAGGGCACTTCTACAAACTATAGGGCCAAATGCCTCATTTTTTTTCCTATGAGAAAATCTCATACATTATTCAGCCATTATTTTGCTATCATAAATAATTTTTCTAAGCCATTTTCCAATGCCTACTTCTAATGGAAGCAACTTCTCAAATTATTTAACTCAATCTTAGAAGAGTAATCTGAGGTACAGAGATGAACCCAAGGAGACTGCAGGATCTGTGTTAGCCACTGGCTTATCTTTGTATTTGTAGTAGAAAAAAATGCAAGGGATTTTGTCTTTACTTGTGTTTAAGTAAGTTTGATAGCCTCTCCACTTAAAACAACTAAATTTAGTTGCCATGAAATGGCACTTGAGACAATTTCTATAAATATTTTGACTCTAATACCTCCACAAATACCCTCCTCATTTATGTTTATGCCAACACTAATCACTTTCATTTTAGTAATATAAACTATCTCCATTCACTTCTGAATTCAAACAACACATCTAGTTAGTTTTACAATGCATTCACCTTTTGTAGTTTAGTTACAACTTAAAAAATTCAATTGAGCACTAGCTGGTTTTGCTCAGTGGATAGAGCATCGGCCTATGGACTACTACTAGTGGTCCATGAGGTCCAAAAGGTTGGCGAGCACTGGTATAAGGAAACCTTTGGAGCAGCAGTCACCAACCAGTGGTCCATGAGGTTCAAAAGGTTGACAACGACTGGACTAAAGGGTCCCAGGTTCAATTCCGGTCAGGGTCACATGCCAGGTTGTGGGCTTGATCCCCAGTGGGGGGTGTACAGGAGGCAGCTGATCAATGATTCTCTCTCATAATTGATGTTTCTATCTCTCTCTCTCTCTCCCTTCCTCTCTGAAATCAATAAATATATATATATATATATATATATATATATATATATTAAATATATTTTATTGATTTTTTACAGAGAGGAAGGGAGAGGGATAGAGAGAAACATCAATGAGAAAGAAACATCGATCAGCTGCCTCCTGCACACCCCCTTCTGGGGATGTGCCCACAACCAAGGTACATGCCCTTGACCGGAATCGAACCTGGGACCTTTCAGTCCACAGGCCGATGCTCTATCCACTGAGCCAAACCGGTTATGGCTCAATAAAAATATATTTTAAAAAATAATCTCATCCAAAATTTAACATCTTACACAATTATTAACACAAAATTAATCATGGAGTTAATTGTAAAATATAAGACTATAAAACCCCTAGGTAAAAAAAAAATTAATTGATTAATACTTCAAAATTAATTTGGATGTATGAAGATGCTTCTTCCCTTGGGACCCTTTAAACAACTTGACTAATGGATTAATAAGATAAAAAACACACACCAAATAAATCATTATAAGACTAAGTTGTTTAAAACAGCATTTATTTCAGAGTTCATACAGAGTAAAGTTGTATTTATGTTCTGAAGGAGGCATTATGGTGGGACAAATAAAACAATTTAAATATATACATATATACATATATAATGTAGTACATATATGTGTATATATGTGTGTGTGTATATATACATACATATATGTATTTAAATACATGAAATTGTGCCTCATTGGATACATGAGAAAATAGATGGTTCCTGTGAAAAAGTTTTTTTTCCTCAATTAAAGTGCTTGTTATCTGCATATCTAAAACTAGATTAGAAAAATGTCACAAGAAATGTCCTAGGCCTTCAGCCTTCTGGACTGTGAAAGTGTCACCAGAGTCAAAGAACATTTCTAGATATACGTCCAGCAACATATATTATGGAAAAGAGGAAACCTTTGTGAAACATATCTTACCTTTGGTCATTGATTTACCTTTTGTCCATATATTGATAAATCAGTCACTTCTAAATTAATAGTGAATTTCACTGACCATATGCATTGTTAACAAGGAAAGAGAATACGAGCTACTATTATATAATAACAAAAGCCAGTGCCTATTAGAGACAAGAATGTAGAGCCTACTTTTTTCAATACTTGCCACTTGTTACTGACACATGCTCACACATACCATACTGACACATCCTTCATACTGTTTCCCACACAATAAAAGATTTGCATAAGATCAAGTTTCTTTTCCCGAATGCTTTCTGCAGCTGTTTTCCCTTAATGTGTTAGATAAATCATCTGGAATTAAAGATTTTTCTTTTGTTGCAGAAATCTTGTTCCAAGGTCCCTTTCATCATTTACATCATATTAATTTCATCTAGGTTCCTTGCTTCTTGTGTGCATTTCAGCCAGGCAGACAGAGGGGCAGCAGTTGGAATGAACATCATTCGTTCAGGGAGTTCAACCAGGAAAAGGAGAAGATATGGCGTGCTGGCTCAGAATCAGCTCCATTCCCACTCCCTGAAGCTGCAGCCTGTCCCTGGAGGGGAGGATCCTCAAATCCAATCTGCAACAGAAGAAAATCTGAATGAGAGGAGGAAGAGGCTAGTCCTTTTGGGGTTGGTCCAACTACTTTTTTACTGAGGAGAAAGGATCATCATCATAATAATTATCTAGAACATAATTATTATTAGGGATGGGAAGCAAGCTCAGGTTATTTTAGCCATGGTCAAGAGCCATGAAAAATTCACACATATGATCCAAAAAGGGGCAACAGTAATGCATGCAGTGGAAGTTCTTGAGAAAGAGTCCAGGCTATCATACTTTTTTTATTTTATTGATTTTTTACAGAGGGGGAGGGAGAGGGATAGAGAGTTAGAAACATCAATGAGAGAGAAACACGGATCAGCTGCCTCCTGTACACTTCCCACTGGGGATGTGCCCGCAACCAAGGTACATGCCCTTGACCTGAATCGGACCTGGGACCTTTCAGTCCACAGGACGAGGCTCTATCCACTGAGCTAAACCAGTTAGGGCAATCCTACTTTTTTTAAAAGCCACTTTTACATTATTTACTGAAAGGAAAGTTGCTATGAAGCTAATGGGAATTTGGATTTAGAAAAATCTGCAGAATAAATAAAATCCTGTTTTAAATGACATTGTTACATCACATGATATTGCAGGACAAATCTCTGCACTGCTAAAGTAAGAATTTCTACTAGGATGTGAATATATCCTATCTAATAAAAGAGAAACATGGTAATTAGCCATACCTCCGCTACCCTTCCCATTGGCTAATCAGGGCGATATGCATGTTAACTGCCAGCCAAGATGGCGGCCGGCAGCCAGGCAGCTTGAAGCGAACAGGAGGCTTGCTTGCTTCAGTGACGGAGGAAGCCAACGTTCCCTGCCTGCCGCTGCCGGCCAATGAGCTTGCAGTTTGAAACATTGTTACAAATAGAGAAGCTAAACAAAACTCCAGAAACCTGCTTTCAGCCAGCCCGGCCTCAGAGCTGGAGTTGAAACAGTGTTTCGATTATAGAACCCAAACAAACCAGATACCTGCTTTCAGCAGCCGAAGACTAAGAGCTGGAACCAAGCCTCAGAGCTAAAGCTGGCCCAGAATAAAAAAAGAAAAAAAAAAAAGGAGTGGTTGGGAGCTTCAGTCACCTGCCAGCCTGAAAACAGCCCTCAGCCCCTCACCCAGACTGGCCAGGCACCCCAGTGGGGACCCCCACCCTGAAGGGGGTGTGACCAGCTGCAAACAGCCATCATCCCCTCACCCAGGCTGGCCAGGCACACAAGCAGGACCCCCACCCTGATCCAGGACACCCTTCAGGGCAAACCAGCCGGCCCCTACCCATGCACCAGGCCTCTATCCTATATAGTAAAAGGGTAATATGCCTCCCAGCACCGGGATCAGCAGAGTCGCGAGGCCTCCTGGCATCGGGATCAGCATGACAAGGGGCAGCGCCCAAACCCCCTGATCACCCTGCGGCTCTGTGTGTGACGGGGCGGGGCCACAACCTCCCTATCCACAACTGCTCTGTTCATGACAGGGGGAAGGGCGCCCCAACCCCCTGATCAGCCCTGCTCTGTGCCTGATAGGGGGGGAGCTCCCCCAACCCCCTGATCGCCCTGCAGCTCTGTGTGTGACAGGGTGCGGCGCCCCAACCCCCTCCCCTAAAGGGCCCTGCCTCTGTGTGTGACGGGGTAGAGCCATAACCTCCCCCATCAGCCCTGCCCTGAGTGTGACAGGGTGCGGCGCCCCAACCCCCTGATCTGCCCCTGCTCTGTGTGTGACAGGGGGCAGTGCCCCAACTCCCCTATCGGCCCTACTCTGTGCGTGACAGGGGGGAGCTCCCCCAACCCCCTGATGGGCCCTGCTCTGTGCGTGACGGGGGAGCTCCCCCAACCCCCTGATGGACCCTGCTCTGTGCGTGACAGTGTACGGAGCCCCAACCCCCCTGATGGGCCCTGCTCTGTGAGTGACAGGGGGCAGCGCCCCAACCCCCTGATTGGCCCTGCTCTGTGTGTGACAGGGGGTGCGCTGCAACCTCCCCATCAACCCTGCCTTGAGTGTGACAGGGGGCGGTGCCCCAACCCCCCAATCGGCCCCACCCTGAGCGTGACTGGGGGTGCATCGCAACCTCCCGATCC